CCATAAACATTATCAAGGGTTACTGCTTCAATATAAGATACCTCTTTGATAACTTTATTTCAGAGAGAATATTAATGGTCCATCATTTCTTCCTTGTGAGATGGGAAGTTACTGACTTACGGCTGCTGGGCCTGGCATGTTGAGCCCTGTCTGTTTGTTAATGTGATGAGGTTACCTGTGGCGAGTGAAGGTCCCTGCTGTGTGGTACATTCATTATCAGAGTTGCTGTGTGGCTATAGGAACCGATTGCTAGCAAATGTAGATTTCTTTTTTTCTCTTTTTTTCCTTTTTTAAAATGAAAATCTCCCATTATATAATTTAACAATCATTTTGTTCCATAGTGAGATGAAAAGAATTTTGCAGCCTTCAGCTGGAGCTGAGTATGGAAGCAAATTACAGAAATCACTGCCATTAGTTCCTGGCTAGAGTGGGACCATTTCCTACTGACTATTTGAAAGTATTTTGTCCAATCTAATTTTAAAAGACTGGAGTCACCAGGCTTCCACTGCTTTCCGTGGGAACTATAATTATGTGGCCTAATAGATCTCAGTGGCAGGACATTCTCCCCAGCTGGTCACAGAGCAGTGGATGCCTTTGTAGGAAGCCTGGTTTACCGTATTTCTCAAGACTGAGTTTTTGAGAAGGGCTAAAAAAACACATTTTGCTTCTTTGAGAACTTATTCTTGTCCTTTGACCCAAGGATGTTTCTTTTGTCCATGACACTGCCCTCAAACCATGGTTTGCAGCATGATAAGGTTTTGTTGACTTTACGTTGTTGTTTTGTGCCGTCAAGTCGCCTGTGACTCATTGTGATCTGTGGATAACAGTTCTGCAGCCCGCCCTATTCTGAGCCAGTCTCGCTGACTCCAACACGCCTACCCTCATTACCTCAGTTGCCGTATCCATTCATCTCCTCTGGGGACTTCCTCTCCTGTGATGTCCATCCACCCTCCCAAGCATGATGTCCTTCTGTCAGGACTGGGCCCTCTTGACCACGAGCCCAAAGTATGTGACACAGAGCTTCAAAATCCGAGCCTCCAAGGAGAAACTAGGTTTTACCTTCTCCAAGACAAACCTGTCTGTTTTCTTGGTGGTTCATAGTATGTGCGAGACTCTTCTCCAGTACGACAACTCAAAGGCATTGATTCTTCTTCTGTCATTCTTAGTCATTGTCTAGCTCTCTGATGTATAACAAGTATTGTGATCAGGTGCATCTTGGTCTCTAGACTGACATGACTTCTCAGCACTCTGGAGAGGTCCCCGACAGCACATTTTCCCAGTGCAATTCATCCTTTGATTTTCTGACTGTTGTTGTCAAGAGTGTTGATGGTGGAACCAACCGAGCTTAACAACCTCAGTCTCTTCTCCATCTATCATTGTGCTGTCAGTTATAATCCCCCAAACACATACAAGTAGATGGGAATACCAGGAAAATACACACGCCCTAGACCAATGAATGGTTCATCAAGATTGACTATCCCTGGGTTTTATCTGAGCCCAGGAAAGACTTTCAGAAGGCAGAAAGGGGTCAGTCAGAAAGAAGGGTTAATGAAAATAAGGATCACGCAGCTGAAGTGGATGGATTATGTTGTGGCCACTTTAATTACTATTATAAAACCAAATATGTAGGAGCCATGAATAGAAAACCAAATTATAGCGTATCCTTTCACTCAAATAACAATTTTTTAATAATTTTTTATTTTTAATTTTTACAGAGGTTTTGGATTTCCATTCATTCATTGCCGCAATTTTCTCCCTTCCCACCCCTCCCCACCAGCTCGCTTCCCCCTCCGAAGAGAGAAAAAAAGAAAAAAGAAAAAAATTCCTTCATTAGTATACAATTCTCACGTCCCTTCCCCCCACCTCCCACCCCAAGTACACTTCTCTATGCAACCTTAATTCTGGATTCCTGTGCTAACCATAATACTCAATCATGTATCACTTCTAGTCTGTTCTTTCCCTCATCTGTTTCAATACAATATGCATAATTTGTCCAGTTTTTTCTGTCATACCCCCACCCTGATGTCAGACCCATTCTACAACAGTGGCACCATGCAGTATTTGTCCCTTTGTGACTGAGCTATTTCACTCAGCATAATGTCCTCCAGGGTCACCCACTTTGAATAATATTGCATGAGTTCCTTGTTTTTCAATGCTGCGTAGTTTTAAAAAGAAAAAAATAGATAGAGCAAGAGAACAAGATTACGGACACTCGTGCCTAAAATTTGCCCCAGCAGTCGTCCTCAGCCCGTGGCGGGTATTACCGCACCCATACTTCATGCACTCTCCCCTGGTCATCTTTATTTTCTGGTGGTTCTGTCTGCAGAGAAGGAGCTCAGGGAGTATCGTCCGTAAAAAGGTGCACTGTCAACCCAAAGTCAGTGTGCCTCTGGCAGTTCAAAGAGAAACGGACTATCTCCTTCTGTGGGGTCTGCGGCCTCAAATCCAAGATGTTGAGGTTCTTCCTGACGTTCCTATCACTCTACCTTGAGTCAATCTAAGCCTCTTCAAATTTCCTCTTGAGTCGTCTGTAGTGTGGCCTTGGCTAACTGCCTGTCTATGATAGATGATAGTTTTACAATTTTTGTGGTCTTGGAAAGTAGCACATTGTGGGCATTTTCAAAATTTTCTTGCAAAAATGTCTTATAATTCCCTTAGCGTCTTTGTCTCTCATCCCTCAGAGAAGATGAGGGTTCCCCTCGTCTCCCCCCACCCCCGCCCATTACAGGATTAGAAGTTAGAATTGTTGTCTTGGTACTAGCAGCCAGGAAATTAAAAGACAAATAACAGTGAGAAAATCTGCTGTCAGAGACCTCTGCAAAGTACTGAAGAGCAACAATGTCAGTCTGGAGATTAAGGTGCGCCTGATTCAGGCCATGGTCTTTGCAATTACTTGCCATGTATCAGAAAGCCTGACAATGACTAGGGATGATAGCGATTTTGTGCCTTTGAGAAGAGTTTTGACTATACCATGGATAGCTAGGAGAATAAACAGGTTTGACCTAGAGAGGGTAAAACCAGGCTGCTCCTGGGAGGCAAGGGTTCCAAAGCTCCATTTGACATAAGTTTGGACATGTTGCAAGGAGGGACTAGTCCTTGGAGACGGACATCATGCTTGGGAGGGTTGAGGGACAGCACAAGCGAGGAAGACCCTCGATCAAATGGATAGATTCAGTGACTGGAGTAATAGGGGTAGGTTTGTCAGAGACAATAAGACTGACCCAGAGTAGAGCAGGTTATAGGGCTGTTGTACGTTGGGTTGCTGTGAGTCACAGGAGACTCAAAGGCACATAACAGCAACTACTGTTAAGTCATGAATTGGTTACTAGCTATTCTGAATTATTCTCATTAAGTGATTCTTTTCCTGGAATTTTTTAAAACAATAAAATGGACCTGCAGCTGCGCATCTACTTCCTCAACAACACACCCTGCGCCCTGCAGTGGGCGGTGACCAACAAGCAGCCCCATGGTGGGCGCCTTCGTGGGCCCTGCCAGCTCTTCGACTTCACCGGAGCCCATGGGGACCAGTGCCTGAAGCTCAAGTACATCTCAGAGGCCAGTGAGAGTGAAGACTGCTCGGCACAAACCAATGAGATCATCGTTACTATGCACACCTTCCAGGATGGCTTGGAGACCAAGTACATGGAGATCCTCAGGTTCCAGGCATCAGAGGAGGAATCCTGGGCAGCACCACCTCCAGTCTCCCAGCCACCCCCCTGCAACAAGCTGCCCCCGGAGCTCTTCGAGCAGCTTCAGATGTTGTTGGAACCAAACAGCATCACAGGCAATGACTGGTGCCGACTGGCCTCCCACCTGGGACTCTGTGGCAAATCCGGACTTGCTGGGAGCTGGAGTACTTCTGAAATGACCTCTTCACTTACTATGAGACAACTAAGGCTCAAAGGAAAAACCGGGCTTCTGAATGGTCCTACAGCAAGTCACTGGCTGAATATGACCCAACACTGTGTCCCAGCCTCACATCTGATGTGTATGAAATATCCTCAGGGGATTTTTGAGCAAGACTTTGGGAACTTCTAAGTCTGTATCATCTCTCTCCTTTTGTTTTATGTGGTCTGCTCCCTTTGCTGTCACTGGTAATAAATATCCCTATGGGGGAAAAAAATAAAATGCCTAATTAGATGACTTTGTGGAAGAAGGTGATAAAATCCAAGTAGAGATAATATATCTATGTATCGGTTCTGACTCAGTGGTTCAAAGTAACAGCTATATAGTCCTAGAAGATTAAAGTGAAAGCTTATAAAGCAGGCTGAGTCTCCTCCTCTAGTCTCAGCTTCCCTGTTAAATGAGGAAGATATTTATTTCTTTTTCTATTTTATAAAGTTGCCAAGCACAGTAATGAATTTGTATTTATAGAAAGCAGAGAGCTTTTTGATGGAAGGTGCTAAATGGAGGTTTATTGTCTATTGAATTTATTTGATGTGTCCCACCTCCTGGGAACATTTGCTAAATTTAATTAAAAACAGATAGTCCTTCCTGACAGTTTACAGTTCCACTTAGAAACTAATAACACAAGCAGTGTGCACCTCTGCTGTCCTAACTTGGTTCTCCAGCGCTCTCTGTGACCGGGGAAGGGCCTTTTTTTTTTTTTTTAAGACAGATGAATTCATGTGTTGGGGGAAAGCCACAAAGATAATCTTAATTGTTAGTCTCCATTTAAAAAATTACTTAAAGGCTTTTCTGATGGATTCATGTGTTGGGGAGAAACACAAAGATAATCTTAATTACTAATTTCCGTTTAAAAAATTTCCAACCATGAAGATTTTCCTCAATTTCCAACTTCAACTGTCAGGTTGCAAACTTGAAAAAATAAACAAGAATTTCTACCAACTTGGAAGGAAATCAAGTGAAAGTTCAGGTGTAATTAATATATTGTTTCTTGATGACTTTGACCAACTGGAACCCGTATGCTTTATGAATTCCACTTAGTGGAAACTATAACGATGTAATTCTAATAATGGCTTGTTTTCTTCCTTTACCAGCTGGTGATGGAGTTCTGTGGCGCTGGCTCTGTCACTGATCTGATCAAGAACACGAAAGGTAACACCCTGAAGGAGGAGTGGATTGCGTACATCTGCAGAGAGATCTTACGGGTAGGTGGCAACTGGGACTGACTTGACCTCCATCCGATGTCTTGAGATATCAGAGGGTATTTTGAAAGATGTTGAACTTTGTTTACAGTCTTTCTTTGGAATTTAGAAGCACATTGAAATCTCTTGTTGGCTTTATTCTACTAGTGGTAAGAGTAGTGGCAGTTAGGAGGGTGGTCCTGCTGGTGTGGAATATGCAAGTATGCATAATAGAAACAGCGCCATTCTGGGTGCTGCGAGGAAAAGAAGGTGAAAATCTTACAGACTTCACCTGAAGGGATGGCATTAGGCAGATTCCTTTAACAAGGAGTCACTACCATAGGTGTTTTCAATTGAAAGTATGATTATAAGTCATAAACATGGTTGCATCTAATAAAGTAGTTGTTCCTAGGTGGTTGATCACTGCCTTTTCTGTTAACAACTTTATTATCATTGATGCAGGGATGTCTTCCTACCCCACACAGTGTACAGTGTTTTCGTGACTTTAGGGTCGGTTTTACTTTTTAAAAATATGTGTAAGTTAATCATTTAAAGTGGTGGCCTAGTGGCAAGAAGCTGTGCTGCAATCCCAAAGGCACTTGGTTCCAATCCACCAGCTGCTCTGTGTAAGAAGAATGGACAATCTCCTTCTATGAGATTAACTGCCTCTGAAAATCCTGGAGAGGCTCAGCTGTGGGTCGGTTCTGACTCTTCTCACATGCCCATCGAGCATTCTTACCAGATACGCCTTAGGAAGAAGTCATTGCTGAGTGTTAAGCTCTGTCTTCTTAATTTAAGAAAACAAAAGTCAAGTCTTTTCTCATGTGTGTCCAAGAAATAACTTTGAGGAATCAGTTAAGTTTTATAATGGATTGATGGATAAATAGAAATTAAATAAGAAGGAAGAAAGAATATAAAAACATAGTTATTCATCAATGCAAACATAAAACCAAAACTACATAGAAAATTAAATTTTACATTGATTGAGCTTACTGTTGTTGATATGTGCCATCAAGTCATCTGTGACTCATAGCGACCCTGTGCACAATGGTTCTGAACCCTGCTCTATCCTGAGACGATCTCACTCTCTCTGACACACCTGTCCCCATTAACCCAGTTGCTGTCTCAGTCCATCTCATCCAGGGTCTCCCTTTCCTGCACTGTCCCTCCACCCTTCCAGGAGTGAGTACACTTGTGGTGGTGGTGGTGATGGTTGTTATGTGCCGTCGAGTCGATTGCGACTCATAGTGACCCTATGTACAGCAGCCTTAAACCCTGCTCTATCCTGTGCCAATCTTACTGTTTCTGACACACCCACCCAATTACCCTAGTCACTGAATCAATCCATCTCATCGAGGGTCTTCCTCTCCTCCACTCTCCCAAGCATGACATCCCTCTCCAAGGACTGGTCCCTCCTGTAACATGTCCAAAGTATGTCAGACGGAACTTCAAAATCCTTGCCTCCAAGGAGCAGCCTGGTTTCACCCTCTCCTAGCAGTCCATGGTATATTCAACACTCTTCTCCAGCACCACAGCTCAAAGGCATCAATTCTCCTATCATCCCTATGGTAGCATAAAAATTATTTCTGCACTGGAAAGTACGAAACATTGCTGAGGAAAATTAAAGCAGAATTAATAATGGATGACTGAAAAAAAAATCACAAGCTCACATTGCCTTAGAGTCAGAAGTGACTTCTGTCTGACGCTCCATCAGATTTTCTGAGGCTGTAAATCCCAGGAGAAGCTATCACTCTTCTCTCTCTTTCGGAGCAAGCTAGATTGAGATACCATATTTATGGATTGGAGCAGTCAGTATTACAAAGATGTCCTTTCTCAGCCGTACTTAAGAAGGACGGAAATGAGCAGATCTGTGCCTCCACCTATCACACCTTAGTTTAAAGGTAGTAAATAGTTAACATAGTGCAGCTCTGGCTTAAGAGCAGACAAATATTCCCTGGAACAGAGTTAAGAATCAGTAAACGGACTTTTTGACATGTGGACACTTACAGATTCATGCCGCAGGAAACACTGCTGTGTGGCTGGGATTTTTTAATCAGTTGAGTATCCTCAGGTGAATATCTGTCTGAAACTTGACATCTGCTTTATGCCATATTTAAAAAAAATTAATCAATTTGGAGGGAGGGAGTGGGCAGGGAGAAAAGTGCAACAGTGAATAACTGGAAAACCTAAGTCTCTGTAAACTTTCATTAAAATGAATAAAAATTAATTGTAGGTCGACTTTAGATATACATAAGAAAAGTAGTATTTTAAGACCCAAACCTGAGTATCAGTATCACACCTGTCACATTGCTTGTCTTTCCTACGTGCCTCGTGTATACAAACGTGGCCTTTCTGGCTATCTCTAGTCTCAGGCTAAATTTCTTCAACAAAAGAATTCTTTAAGGTTTTGTTTGTCTGTTTGCTTCAGCTTCATTCTTTGCATCCTGTTTTTGTGATTGTGGAGAAAATTAAAACTTCAGAAAATAAAAATCCTACGATGACAACACTTACATACTCACATGCTCAGTAATTTGAATTAGTAATGCTTGCATTTAAGAATTGATTCTGAGATTCCCTTAGATTCTGATTTCTCTGAGACTACCTTAAATAAGTCTGTGACCGCCTCAGAGTAAGTCTGTAAGCTTTTAGAACTCAATACTGCTGAGACCCTAACGTCAGAGTAATATGGAACACAGGTTAGATAACCAAATGGTTGTCTCATGAAACAAGCCCAAGGTCACAAATGTCTGTTGGCTGTAATAACTGCCCAGAAAGGAAATAAAAACCATTCTCCTTTATTTAATGTGCCTCTTATGGTAAGAAGCAATGGGACTTTTTTTTTTTAATTAATCTGAAAATGGTTGATTGTGCTTAATTAGAATTATGTAACAGATAATACTGATATTATGTACAGTACATATTATGTATATAATATGAGGAACCGACTCATAGCTGATAGTAGATTTTCAGATCCAGTAACTTGTACAGGAGGAGATTGCCCGTCTTTCTCCAGTGGAGAAGCTGGTGGTGGATTTGACCTGCTTACCTTTGGGATGGCAGGGCAGCTACTTCCCACTAAGCCACCCGAGCTCCCCAAGATAATATTCTTTACCTTTTAGTTTCAAATATTATCTTCAGAAAGTTGAAGAGGCTCAATAAAGTAGAGTTCATTTTCTACACAGAGCCATAGCACATACACCTGTTAGTGAGAGTGGACAACCCTCACTTTTAGGGTCCTAACAGCAACTTGTGTGTATTAGAATCCCAAGGGTGCTCACCCCTGAGGTCAGATGTGACGCACAAGCTTGGCAAAAACCCACGATGTCCTTCAGTTCCAGCTGGTTAGTGACCTATGGTTTCAACTCGCCCTGTGACTTTGGACGACATGAATAGAATTCTGAGGAGTATCTCTGGGTACATGAAATGTATTCATTTTAGAAGGCATCACTGGCATCCAAAATCATTGACTTGCATTTTATTTTCTCTTCTTGTTAACCCTTGCCAACTCTCTCCCTCCCAGGGGCTGAGTCACCTGCACCAGCACAAAGTGATCCACCGCGATATTAAAGGGCAGAACGTTTTGCTGACTGAAAATGCAGAAGTTAAACTAGGTAAGAACACGACCTGCCGGACCTACGAACAGTGGGAATTGATGCAGTGAAAGCATTGCCTTTCCTATATTTTATTTTTTTTGGTCATGAATATGAATTTGTTACTTTGAACTTTGAAGGTCATTGGGTTAACAAATGGGGATAAAAATGCTTTAGTGTACAAATTTCTTTAGTGTACAATCCCTGAGAGTGAGTCGGTATGCAATATGATAAATGACATTATGTGTTTAATCAGTGCATCAAAAGAATCTAAGTGTTGTTGCTAAAACCCAGTTAGAGCCGATGTGACTGGATTGGTGTCCTGGATTTATAGGTGGGCTACAGATTTGCAAATCTAATAAGACCATCATGAAATTTGACTCTTTTGGTCAAAGGTATTCACAGTTAGACATATTGGAAAGGACAAGTTCCTATCTTGTCCCCCTATGTCGTTCATTGAAATACACGTGGAATTCATTAACTGGTAGATGTCTGCAAAGGGCATGCACCGTTTCCCACTCTGATGGCATGGTGGTCACCGTTCTCTTCATGCACAGTCGTGAGGGGGAGAATCCCTTTCTTTGGCGCTGCCCGTTGGATTCCTTCCCACAGCATATTGTCCAGCCCCAGGAGAGAATTCCCACTAGCATTTTTCTCCTTGGCATATATCCGCAACAGCGTGAACTGACAAGTATTCTTTAAGGCAAATTCTCACCAAGAATCTTTGTACATTTTACTTTTATGTCTCAAGGGTATTTAAATATCCCCTATGTTATATTCCAAACATTTGTTCTTGCCTGTTACAGTTCCATTTTTTCCTATTACAAGCATTTGTCATATGAATACTTTTGAAATGTCGAACTGTACATTTTTTTAGACAAAGGAACTGTGTGTGTGTGTGTGTGTGTGTGTGTGTGTGTGTGTGTGTGTGGTGTGTTTGTCTACTAGATAAGCTGTCCTCCTCATATTTGCTCATCACTCTAGAAACTTTGATAAATGTTGATAGTTGTAGAGGGGCTTCAGGCCTTTTGTTCATAGGGTCGCTATGAGTCATGCTTGACTCACCGTCAATCAACAACAACAACAACAACAGTGAGAGCATACTGTATGCTGTGTACTAGACATCTTTACATAGGTTATCGCACTTAAATATTAGAACGACTCTATGTAAAGGTTCTTATTCTCATTTTACAGACTTGAAAACTAAAACTCAAAAGAGGTTAGCATCTATTAACACTAGGTAACATGCCACGAAGAGTGCCATAAACAGGATGCAGTCTTTGTCTTTCTGATCCATGGTCTGAGATCTTGACATCATAATTACTAACTTGAGCTTCAATTGGTTTGTGCTCAGCACCTAAAGCTCAAGGTTGGTGGTTTGAACCCCACCTAGAGCACAAAGGAAGAAGACCTGGGATCTACTGTGCTAGAGATTCTGGTTGAACACCGTTGGGTAGAACTGACCCATAGCTGACCCTCCAGTGGGTTTTTATGGAGCAGTTTGATTCTGTCCGTTATACACAGAGTCACCCTGACTAGGAATCTACTGAATAACAGATTTGGGTTTGGGTGCAGACAAGCGTGCGTGGTATTTATTTTACACGTATTTCCAGTACCTATAGAAACTGTGATGTACCCTCCCACAGAACAATGATCAAACAAACCCACCAAGAGCCCCTCACTCTGCTTTCCTTATCAACACCCAGTGGGTTTTATCTGTTGTGTCCTTATCAGCACACTCTTGATTTGTGTTGGTCATTGCTGTGGTTCGGGAACCAGCTCAGAGGCTGTAAATCCAAAGAGATTTTCTTTCTTTCTCCCTCAGAACAGCTGGATTCGAACACATAGATTTGAACTGCTTACCTTTGAGTTGGCAAGTGGCAACTCCCCATTCGCTAGGCTACCTGAACTCCCTCATCCATGTATACACATAATTTAAAAAATGAATTCATATTATTGCCTCATAATAGACATCATTCATCTGTCTTCTCTTGAATAGTGGACTTTGGTGTCAGCGCCCAGCTAGACCGAACGGTGGGCAGAAGGAACACCTTCATTGGAACTCCCTACTGGATGGCTCCAGAGGTCATTGCTTGTGATGAAAATCCAGATGCCACGTATGACTTCAAGGTGGGCCTTTTTCATGAGGTGTCAAAACCGTGTCTAACATCGCTCTCAGAGACTTGCAATGAAAGAATGCTTGTTTGCCTGCAGGTTTATGATTTATGTGACATAAAGGGAGAATGAAACAATATTCTTTAAATGTAAAATTATAAGGCATTCAAATGAGAATCTTTCTGTGGCTTCACTCTTACTTCTGATTGTTCATTTGTAAAAAAATTCTTTAAACTATTTTTTTATGTTCTTTTGAATTTACTCTTACTTATTATTGAAATTTTGGTGTGGGTTTGTTTTGTTTTTTTCCATTTTGGTGAGACTCTGATCTTGGCATAGTACTTGTTTTGATAGATATTTGTGTGAACGGGGACCAAGACACTCACTAGTTGTCTTGGCTTATCTTCTTTTCAATGAAGTATAGTAAGATTTATTCATTTCTGCATTGTTCAAAGAGTTTCCTAGCTAGGACTTGTCATCAATGAGAGATAACGGAATGTGATATTATTCCCTATTTTATGATATTTCAGTACCATGCTGTGTTAGTTGAAAATTCGAATTTAGTGTTGTTACTACATAGGAACTGGAAATTTGATAGTTAATTCCAAGAAGTGCCCCTCACTAGAGAAGTGAGAGTAGTCTGTTTCTCCAAGAAATACTCTTCTTTTATCTTTTGAAACTCGGATACTGTCGTGAGGTCAGATGCCGTTTCAGGTCATATTGTTCTTGGACATTGGACATTATCAGATAGATATTTGCGCCATCGATTCTGGTTCTGTGCTGTCGAGTGGGCACTGACTCATAGTTGGACTTCCAGTGAGTTTTCAGAAGCTGTACGTTGCTTCAAGGAGGTCCATACTTCTCCCAGGGGCAACTGGTAATATTTGAACCACATGCATTTGGGTTGACAGAGCAGGTCTTTACCTCTGAGCCGTGAGAGCTCCCTAATGTCACAGACTGTTGTTGTTTCTTCATGAAAAGCCAAAATGAGAATAATGTGGGGTTATTATTGAAATCAGGTCACAAAGATGCACACAGCACAGTGTCTTGGGACCCAGTGTCTCCGAGCCCTGACAAATCTGTTTGCCTTTTTTGAGGAAATGCAAACTTGAATACCTGAAAGCAAAACAATCTCCTATAAATTTCCTACTTCCTTCAAAGTTACTTAGCTTGAGAACCTGACAGCAATCTGCCTAAGAACAGCTGCCATGTTAAAAATTAATCTACTGCCAAAATAAATGGCATTTATTGAAACTGCTAATAATTAGCACATTTAAATAATTTAATTTGTGAATCCCTCCAGAGGAACTCCTACGAAAATAGGTCCCAGGCCAGATAGTTGCATTATGATGGACTATAAATGTTCTTCAACTTCTAGTTATACTTAATAAATGCCAACTATGTCTGTGTGTAGGCTGCAAATATTTTACACTGCCTTATAAACATGTCATCAGGACTCAAATGCTTCAAACTTTAGCCCTGAGCTTGTACTTTGTGAATATTTTGCCTGGCTGTGTTGTAAATGAGACTTGTGTTCTGTACCATGAGGGAGAATACCATGATGTTCTTGTATCCTGTAGAATCACTAGAAGTATATGTTCTTCTGGCCACTTCGAGCTCTGGATTCAACTAATACCATGGTCCTGTTTCCTCAAATTATAGCCAATGGAGTATAGTTTGGGATCAGTGAGAAATTTGGGGGAGTAATTAGGTAGTGAACCCAGCATGGGGTCTGAATGGCCATATCAGGTACCTCTGAAATCAGCATGAGGTAACAGTAGGTCCCTCTTGACTCCAAAAGTATCTTGAGACATTAAAATTCATGTCTACAGCTTTTATGAAGAAGAGGGGGGGGAAAAAAAGAAAGAAACCTGGTGAACAAAATAGATTAACAGCATCAGGTAGGACAAGGTGCCAATCTGTGAGTCCTGATCAACACAGTGGCACCTGACAACTACAGTGCAATGATATCAATCACTTACCTTATGAACCTGGAGAAAGGATGAAAGTTATACAAGTGTCCTTTCATTCATAGGGTCGCTGTGAGTCACCTATGACTCGATGGCACTTAACAATAACCACAGCATAGAGAGAAATCAGTTGGCCTGGTGAACAAAAAGTGATGCTACCAAGACAAATGTGGGTGACTTTAATCCGCAGCCCTCAGGTCTGGTTTTAATTGGTTTTGGTCAAACATTCTTCTAGGTCATACAGCCCTGGTCTGTCCACTTGCTGTACAGAGGTAACTCGTGGTTGCTGTGAAGCTGAACACTGTGTTTAGGTCTTCCATTCATAGGGTCACTATGAGTCGCCTGCGACTAGACGGCACTTAATAACAACAACACTGTAATTAATTTACCAAATCTTGTCAGGAGTACAGTTTGGTAAGTGGGAGAAAGAAATTTTAGTAAGAATATGATCTTCCCTGGTCACATGTTAATATACAAAAGAAGGAGCATAAATAAAGAATCAGTAAGGAAGGCAGATAGAAAGAAAGACTTTCTTTCAAAGGAGATTCTTTGAAGATTCATTTTAAATACTTCATAGTTTGTAGAATAAATAGAAGCTAAGCAGGAGTGGCATCCACTTCCTAAACCACATGCCTCTGGAAACCCTGTGAACTTTGGTAAATGTTGATGGTTGTAGAGGCTTCAGGCCTTTTGTTCGTAGGGTTGCTATGAGTTGTGCTCGACTCGAAGGCAATCAGCAACAACAACCACCTTTATTTTAATTAAACTATTTTTTTTTTAACCTGGAATACCAAATCTTATCTTTTCACCTATTCTAAACAACCTGTCAACAGTGGACAGTTTGACCGTACCTTGAAATTATTTAATCTGTTTGTTACTGTTGTTGTTGTGTATTGTTGTGGTGGAACTGACTCATGGGTAACTCTTCAGCAGACTTTCAGAGGCAGTAAATTGCACAGGACGAGACTGCCCATCTTTCTCCCTCAGAGCAGTGGGTGGATCCCACAGGCCTGCCTTCACATTGGCAGTGCGGCTTCTTACCACTAGACCACCAGACTCCCCATTTCTCTCAGTAGCAAGTATATATTCAATATAGAGTAAGCCCTAATGACCAGGAGTGTTTCTTCCAACCCAAGGACATGGTTCAGCTCCTCCAGCAGGTAGGTCCATGAGAGAAAAATGGGCCATCACCTCCTATATGACTTACAGCCTCTGAAAACCTGCTGAAGGGTTGGCTGTGGGTCAGTTTTGACGTAATGGCACATGGCAACATGAATTAGATACCCTTCCGTTTTCCTTTAGAGTGTTCATTTGTTACTCCACCAAAGCTCAGAGTTCTTATTCTGTTTGTGCATGAGAACCATTTGATCTGGCAATGTGTTCTAGCCTCACATGCTCATGTCATGCTGTTCTTAAACGCTACAGATGCTTTGAACCTTGAGGACATGCTTAAGAAGGTCACTGGATGTGGTTAGGTTGTGTCTTAGACTGGATTCGCTTGAAAAGCAAATCAATTAAATACATACATGCACACACACTACTGATACGGGGCTTCTTCACTGATTTATTCCTCAGATGTAATCAGTCAGGTGAGGTCCAAGTGTATGAAGTATGATTTTTTTACAATGAAAAATTTACAGTGAATAAATCATGGCATGTACAAAATTCTATCATTTAGCTTTAGCTTTATTTCTTTCACCAAAAGCCTTATTTTTCAATTGCAAACAATTCTTTTTTTTTCCCACTTTTACATTTCATCACCAGTTATTAGAAATACATTTTATTTCCTCCTGGGTTTCAGCACTAAAAAAATAAATAAATACATCTTTTAAAAATATTTTCTTTATTTATTTAATTTTACCCTTTTTTTTTGCATACAGAGTTTCATGTTATCCTTTATTCACATTGTATTCTCAATGATTGTGTTATAAACTCATTCACTATTAAACGATTCCCGTCATTACCCTGTCTTTCCAGATCCCTACCAGATCTTCCCCATGGCCCTTACCCAACCTCCTCCCACCCACCAAATGTGTGCAACCCTATGGATTCCCCTCCTACCCACCCTCCTCTCTCTGTTCCCACCCCTTCCCCCCTGGAGTCTCCATCCATGTTTTACTAGTTATTCTTCTATTTTTACAATAACGGTCCTATGCAGTTTTTGTCCTTATAAAATGGAGTTAGTTCACTCATGTTAATGCCCTCCAGTCTCTCCCAAGTTATATAGTAATTTTCTAATTCACTGCTCCTGAATGTTGTGTAGTATTCCATGGTGTGAATGTACCACAATTGTGCCATGCATTGGATTATGGTTGAACATTTGGGCTGTTTCCAGGTTCTTGTGATGGTGAATAATGCTGCTATGAGCATTGTTGTACAAATCTCCGTTTGTGTTTCAGTTATATCCCTTGGGGTATATTCCTTGGAGTGGAATAGCTGCCATATGGAACTTCTGTGTTCAGTTTTTATTTTTAAGAAATGCCAATTGCCTTCCAGAGTGATTGTACCATTTTACAATCCCACCAACAGTGTATGAGAGTTCCCACCTCTCCACAACCTCTCCAGCATTTATTACTTACTTTCCTGTTCAACCTTTGCCACTGCTACTTGAGTGAGATGATATCTCATTATAGTTTTAACTTAAATTTCTCTTATTGCCATGATTTGGAGCATTTATGTGTCTGTTGGCCATCCAGATGTCTTTCTCTATGAAATGTCTTTCCCTGTCTCTTGCTCAATTTGAAATTGGGTTATCAATATTTTTCTTGTGGAGGCCCTGTAGAATCCTTGTAGGATTCTGAAAACTTTTGATATGAAATTTTTTTTTCTGAGATGGTATTGTCAAATACTTTTTCCCAATCAGTAGGTTTTCTTTTCACTCTATTAGAAAAAAATTTTGATACGCAAATATATACATGCACACACAGAAAGAGAATGAGACATTTAAAGGAAATGACTCACACACTTAGAGAGGTTGGAAAGCTCCCAGTCTTAGGATCAGGATTCAAGAAAGCATTATCCAGGGAGATAATGGGTTCAAAGGGC